ATGGATTATTTTTAAATCACTGTCACATATCTGAAAAATACATGAAATTATAATTAAATATATAAGATATCTGACGATAACTTAAATAACATTTCTGTGCACATTAATTCTTCAGGCATAACAAATTCCAAAAGAATGTCTTGAGAATGATATTTATACATTAATAACTTACCAGTTGTACATTAATTGAGTGATAACCTTTTCTATTCACATAAATATGTTCCGGAAATTGTGGATGATGCTTGGGAGGTGCAACTATTGTCACTATTGCCACGTGAGTACAATCTATGCGTCCTATAATTCCAGGAAAATCATATTTTTTCCAAAATCTGTATAAAATAATTTAATAAATTTTATTAAAAAAGATATCGATTAATATAGCTCATCAAACTCTTCCACAGAGAAAATTTCATATATGCAGAATATCTGACGCAAAACACAATAGATTCGTATGCAGATAAAGCACACCAAACAAAATCATTTTGCAAACAACCACGACGTAAAATCCGAAGATTAATAGAAAAACATTTGCGAATCAATGTGCACAATCTGGTAAGGCGGCTCTTCAGTTTAAGTTTCCTTCAAAGTGTCTCAACATATTGACAACTTTTTGAAAACGGCGAACAATACATACTACTGGACAGTCTTATAATATACATTTGCACTGTTTAGTTTTGCACTATCACTGATACCAAAATATTGTCAAAAGATTCAGATATCTTGAATGAAAGTCCAGTTATACAGTTCTTTCTATCATATTACATGTATTGATTCGCTAATCTTCTTCTATTAATACCTGAGAATATTATGTATTTCTTCGAGTAATGATAGAGTACTTTTTGTTTTACATATTTCATCTGTAAATAGTGTTGCCGTGTTTTGCGTTAAATACCTTGTATATTAAAAAAATATTTACCTATCTCTTATCGATCTAACTTCTGTCAAAGTTGAAGAGTATTTAACCCATCTATTTAATTTTATTTATTATATGGTTGATTATAGTTTATTTATTATTTAGTTGATTTAAAACTCTTGTTGTTGTATCAGTGCATCTGCTCACAGATAGTTGACTGATAGCAGAATTAACATTAAGACTTATGTCTCTCTGGTAACTGCCAGATGCCATGAAACGTATTGCTGTTGTAACCTGTAATATAAGAATTAATATAATAAATATTATGTAAATGAACAATATTCTAATAATCACACATAATAAATAATTTAATAATTTTCTTGTGTGCTTATATCCAATGCTAATATTCGTCTAGGCTCATTTATATATTCGTATTTATATATATAGATACAATATCTATTATATTTTACGTTATTCTTTTGTTTACTCTATATAAACGAATAAAATCTTTATTAGATAAATCAAACGGATTATTTCTGATATGAAATAACTGTCGTCCTTCCATCTCTTTCTTCAACTTCTTCAAGAAGCCGAGCTGCTCCCAAATACATTAAATTATTATTTGGTATCATTACTTCCACACAAACTGCAAAATAAATTATGCAGTTGCTGTTATACATTTTGTAAATAAAATGCATGCAATTCATTGACATACCTTTTTTTTCTTCCCTAAAGTTCACTAATTAGCTTCTTATAACAAATCTCTTCCAATTTTTCCAAACTTTGAGAATAATGACAATTTGTGATACACTCTTTATTATAATTCTATTTTTTACTAAAATTTCGTATGTGATATTTATTTTTGCATGGTCGGACCTACTCGATACCAAACGTTCGATATTTATCGCATATGAGTGTCTCGCGAAAATTCGAGAATACAAATTTATCGAAAAACGTGATATTCTAATGACATTCATGAAATATCGTATGCGATATTTTTCGAGAATCAGGGCCCTGAGCGCTCGAGTCTAAAAGCTGAAAATGAAAGACTGCTTGCTAATCTAAAACGAGTAAGTCTGTTACTCGTTTGCACTTCCCCCAAGGAAGCGCAAAGTAGAGAAAGTACTGGTCACACCTGATATTAGTTGTATAACAGGAGCACCTTTTCCCAATTCGGAAAGCCAAAGTGAGGCGACAGAAGATGGCAGTAATCAACGTGGCCGAAAATAGAACTGGAACCTCTATCAGAGACTTGCCCGGGTCAGAAAAGAGCCGGTCAAGATACAAAAAACTATACAAATAAATACAGAAGTGGACAATTCGGAGATTGAGAAGGAAAAAAGCATCAGTCATCAAATAGATGTTCTCATTAAAGAAAAGAGGGAACTGCGAGAGAAAAGGCAAAAAAGGGAAGGAAGCTACGCTTCAGTAACAGCGTTAAAGTCGGGAAACAATAAGCCGAAAATAATCTCTAACGTAATAATAGCTCCCCCCTCTGTGACACTAAGGGATGGTGAGGCAAGCATATCAATATTAGATACTCCTAATGCAACAGAGGAAGAATGACAAGTAGCTAAAGGCGGACGGAATACATTTAAAAACAAAGATAAAAATAGAGCTGAAACTAGGATTATAACTAACGGTACAAGTAGGAACGCCGATGAAAACAAGGACGACAACAACAACGCAACAGGCAAGAAGAGAGCAACAAGAAAGGCTTCCTAACCGGAGGCGATTACTATTACCTCGGGAGGGGCAACTGAATTCTCATACGCAGCTGTGCTAAAAAAAGGCAAGAGAGAAGATCAACCTAGAGGAAATAAGAATAAAAGCGCCAAAAATAAGAAAAGCCCTTAATGGATGATTACTGATAGAGATTACCGGAGAACACAGTAAAGACAAGCGGATGTACTTGCGAGAGAATTGAGAGAAGTGTTGAAGGACGAAGCGGTGGTTGCTCGCCCTATGAAGAAAAGAAAGCTAAAAATTATGGGTTTGGACGACTCTGTGACCCAGAGTGAAATAGCTGAGACGTTAGCGCTTAATGGAGAATGCGATTACAATGATATCAAAGTCAGTAAAATAAGACAAATGAGATCGGGACTAGGGATCACATGGGTAGTACTACCCATAGCAGCGGCCATTAAGTTAATAGAAATGAACAGGTTACGGATAGGATGGTCCATAGTAAGAGTGGAAATGCTGGGAGCAAGACCGATGCAGTGCTATAAGTGCTGGGAATATGGGCACATCCGCCACGCATGTAGGAGCAACATCGAAAGAGGGGGAACTTGCTACAAATGCAGCAAAAGTGGTCATCTGGCGCGAGATGGTGAAAATTCCTTATGTTGTATCCTTTATAAAAAAAAGGGTAAAAGGGATAACCATAGGTTAGGTTGCAACCGCACGCAGTTGCAGAACCGGCGAGCGAGTTCCACCACGAGCGAGCGCTGAGAGGGGCGAATACCAACAATCGGAGTGCCGCCAATGGAGAGACGGGCCTGAGCACCCAGGAAGACGCAGTCTGACGGCAAATAGGGGTGGAGGCCGGGGACGTGGAGGTTCCGAAGCCTAACCCAACCGAACTCTCCGCGTCGGAGGAGCATCGGCCGTCCGAACCAGACACCGAGGGAGGTCGGCCGTCCGAACCCGGACCCTGGGAGGACAAGCCGACCCAACCGGAGGTCAGGCACGTCGAGGCCGACGTCACCGCCGAGAACGCGTTGCTCGCGATCGCCACCGCGAGCAAGGAGGAACCCGACGAGGAGGCGACCGAGAACAACCCGCCAGGGGCGCGAGAGGCGTCAGCCGAGCGACCTGGGTCCCCGTCGGTCCTGACGGGACGCGGAGCATCGACGCCGGTGCCGAGGAGCGCAGCGCCGATGACGGAGGAGCTCGACGAGGAGGTGTCGGATCTCGACCTGTCCAAGGAGACGTGTGCGTCGAGTGTCGAGCCATGAAGCGAACGGCGGATGCGCGAACCTCGAGTGAGGTTTAGTTTTTAAGGTAGTATAAGTTTAGTTGTAAGTTAGGTTAGTTGACCGAGCGAGAGTCCAGGACGGATTTCAGGGAAAACTTGCAAAGAGAGAAAGTTCATTGGCATTGGAATACTTACCGGTGGATACTTACCCGTGTCCGAAGTCCGAGGTCCGGGGTCCAGCGTTCGGGGATAACCTGAAAGGAAAAAGCATGAGTATACTTACCGAGGGATACTCACCAGTGTCCGAGGTCCGAGGTCCAGTGTCCGGGAGCCCTGCAACAGAAAAAGAAAAGGTATCCGTCCTGGGTCCGAGCGACGTCTGGCTGTAGTCGAAATAGCGAATAAGATTATTTTTAGATTCTTGGTGCAATTTTAGTTTTGCTTATTCGTTATTCGCGTGAATTTTAGTTCTTATCTTATTTTTTATCTTTTATTCGTTATTTTTGGTTATTCCGCGACACAGTAACCCGCGCGAACGGGATGACACAGCCAAGAACGAGATCGACCGCGCGCAGGAGCCGCGAGTACGTCGAGTACTCCGAGCGACGGGTACGCGCCGAGCCGACACGCGTGCGGGGGAGATGATCAGTCGTACCCACGCGGGCGGGCCGGCGCAGGCCCGTCGTGATCGACGCGAGGTGGACAACGATCCTACGCGCGCGCGGGGATCGAGCGAGCATCGGGTGCGAAGTACGCTTCGATCGGCTAAAATATAGTTTTTGTTATTATAAAAATATCGGTACGAGCAATGATTATTAGTCGGGAATTATTTTATTATTATATCAATATTTTAGGTTAAAGGACTCCTGAATTTATATTTATGTTGATCGTTCAAACTGTAGATTTTTATATTTATATAGACATATGTTTATATATATACATATTTAAGTATAAGTACGCATGGTAATGTCGGGACCTAATGTTGTATTGCCAGTTAAGTTATACAGGTGTTCGGAAAGTACCGGGACGCCCGAATATCAGGAAAAATATAAGTTTTACAAAAAAATGTTTCAGACAAAAGTTGTGGCGTTTAAAAAGATGTATTTACTGATCACATCAGTTTGACCTTGGGTTGCGTAGCGAAGGTCAGGTCAAGGTCACATTAATTTTTTTAAATGGAA